AGCGACAGCAGGATGAGAAGGAGATGCAGCAAGAGCGACAGCAGAAGGAGGAGAAAAAACACAGCAAGATAAGCAGAAGCAGGAGGATGATGAGGAGAAGCTGCATTAGCAGGAGGATAAGGAAGATGAGGAGAAGCTGCAGGAGGAGGATGAGAAACAATGGCAGCAGCAGAAAGAGAAGGAGGGGGAGGATGAAGAAAAGCAGCAGCAGGCATAGGCTGAAGAGCAGGAGCATAGGCTGGGAAGGAGCGTGGAGCCGGCGGTCGCTTGGTTCCAGCGATCGCAACATACCAGGCGGTGCGAGCTGCGAGGGCCGCCCAATGCCACTTGTGGCTTTAATTTTATGTTGCAATTCATAAAACAACTACTCTTTGAAATGATAATTACAATAACTATGAGAGAGAAATAATTAAAGATCTATGTACCTATTTATCCAAAAATGAACAGAATGCAAAGAAATATTTGCTTTGGATATAATTTAGGGATTCCTTTTGGTAGAAATTAAAGAATGTTTTGCAACACCTCTTGTGAGCTGGAAGAAATAAAAACCTGATTGTTAGACAAAGGATTTTCAAGATGTGAAAAATCCCAGCGGACCTTGGCCAACCTTGGCCATTTGTTTCGGTCATGCCAAAACACTAAGCTTCTTCTGGCTGTCCACGCTGGTGAAGATTCTCAGCCATCCAGGTCAGTCATTCCAAAAAAGTTAAATCAATCCTCTGGACTTTGTTTCCAAGTCTGAAGACGTTTCTCTTCCATCCAGGAAGATTTTTCAATCCAAAATGTCAGAAATAGCGTTTAGTTCCAGGTTTTATCCAGCAGCCCAACAAAGCCTGGTTTTAGTTTAGAAAACATGCAAATAGAAACGGATGAACGGGTCCCCCCCTTTGGAATGGGGGTCGTTTGGCTTCTTTGTTAGCCTGCAATGCCCCATACCTGTCTATGTCTCTGAAAGGGGGGGCGTTAGAGGGAATAGTTGGCCTGGCTGAATAGGTGAGGTCTTCTGTTCTCCTGTAAAGGGGTTGGGGTTACAACCCCCATTAGAGGTGTAATATAAGGTTAATAAATGTGTTGTTTGTTATGACTAAACAATAACATGATTGGCTGAAATCTCCACCTAAACCGGTTACTTATTGTGAGGTCTGAGAAAATATTGGAATTTTATTATACTTGAGGCTTTTATCATTAAGCTTTTTCTGTTGAGGCACAAACCACTCTATGTTTATTTAGATATATAGTAAAAAATCTAATTTGTTGTTATATTTACTTATGTTAACAAAACACAATCACTCTTCACTCTTCATCTCATTGTTTATAAGAGACTGTGCGCAGCTTCAAAAAGACTCCTCAGTGGAAATGTTTATAGGTCTTCAAATGTGCAAAATACACCTTCTTACCCTGAAGTGAAGCGGAGACGTTTGGGATGTTTCTGGAAGTTCCCACATCAGCAGGACTGAGGTTTTCATGACAGCTTTCACACCAAAGTTTCTGACAAACACTGAGGAAAGAAAAGAGTCACTATTAGACTTTAAAGAAACTAAACGCAGTTCAAACAATGTGTGTATAAATCAAACTCAGTTTATCATTTTATCGCACTCTCACATTAAACTGGATGTTCAAACGGTTATTTCATTTTGTGACTATAAATGTATTGTAACAGGTTTTTAAGGCACTGTTCGGTAATGGCTAACAGTTAGCTGATGGCAAGCAGTTAGCCACCAGCTAACTTTTAGCACAGTTAAGTCACATGATCAGAGGAGTGGATTTGATTGGCTAAAAGTAGCTGAACTGGATCTAGTGCTGGTTGTCACGACCCGATCCGTCCCAGAACCGCGATGCATGCGCGTACAGAATAATATGAAATCTACGTAATAAAGGTACTGAAAATAGTTATTTATATACTTAAAACATTAATGAATGCTAAACTACATGGTATAGAATATATTGAAGACTTTTCTGGAAGCAATAGAAATGTTTTTGGACGACTTTCAGCCTGATGGTGCGTGGTGTAGTGAACAAGGGGGTAACGAGGGGCGATCAGCCTCTAACGACCACCTCCTCATTAGGAATCAGAAGGTCGGGAGAAAATCAAACATGTTAGAAATTCAGTCGGCCGTCATAAGGTGGTCGTGGGTAAATCGCTCAGTGGGCAAACAAGGATTCTTCTTCATCTCAGATGTAAACCCAGCATCATGGCGGGGGGGCAATGAGTGAAATGGAGTTCTTCCTGTCAAACTGTCAGACCGTAGTAGCCACGTTAGCTCAGCCATGTCTTTGTCCAAATACGTCGTCTCCTTTTCTTTTTAGGGCTTTCAGCACTAAATTGCCCAAATATCCAAGGCAGCGCGTTTCACTCTAGTGAGCTTCATGTTCCTCTGCTACTGGTTTGGCTTCCAGAAAGACGAGTCCGAGTAGCGCCATCTCACTGCGGAGCTGAGTCCAACCTGGTTTTTAGACGTAGAGAGTGAGCAGGTAGATCGCATCAGAGCATCGGGACGCACAGCGTGAGAACAAACATCGTGAGCTGAAAACTTTTGAAAGCTGCGTTTGGTCGTACAGTGTGAGCTGTAGCTGCGTGCGATGATGGAAAATATCGCATGCCCAGCTTTAGGGACAACATGTCCTGTTTGGACATTAAAAAGATCCTTAATTAAGTTTGAAACTCAAAAAGTTCCAGAGGGTGTGTGGACCTTTCTTGAAATACTTTAAGGATTTAAAGTCAGCAGTCCGTTTTACAAAGAAAGTTCACTGAAAAGATTTGTAAACCTAAAATCAGAGAAACTCAGTTTTTTCATTTCACAAAGAGAGTTGCCATAGTAACATTCTCCCCAGAGCTAACCTGGTCAGCAGCAGGTATGGTTCAGTGAACCCAGTGTCCTCTGTCTGCGCTCTCCTTAGAGCCAATCACTGTAAAACATTTTTTAAATTTAACATTCAAGAAAAACACTTTGGATGTCAATGATATATAGGACAAATTTCTAAATTTGATTTTGGTGCTTCAAAGTAGGATAATCACTGATGAATCTGAAAGACAGGATACCATCTCTGCTGTTTGCAGATGATGTTGTGCTGTTGGCCTCATTAAACCAGGACCTCTGGCGTGCACTGGGGTGGTTTGCAGCAGATTGTGAAGCGGTCAGGATGAGGATCAGCTCCTCCAAATCCGAGGCCATGGTTTCCACCGGAGAAAGGCTCCCTCTTCAGGTCAGGAGGGGTCCTTGTCTCAAGTGGAGGAGTTTAATACCTCGAGGTCTTATTCACAAGTAAGGGACGGATGGAGCGTGAGATCGATAGACGGGTCAGTGTGGCGTCGGCAGTAATGCGTTCGCTGTATCGGACTGTCAATGTACCGATCAATCTATGTTCCCACCCTCACCTATGGTCATGGTATCTGGGTAATGAACCAAAGGACGAGATCGCGAATACAAGCGGCTGAAATCTGTTCCAGATGCCTCCTGGTTGCCTCCCTCAGGAGGTGTTCCAGGCATGTCCCATTTTGTAGGAGGCCTGGTGGAAGGCCCAGGACACGCTGGAGGGACTATGTCTCTGAGCTGGTCTGGTGTTGCCTTGGGGTCCCCCCATAGCAGCTGGAGGAGGTGTGTGTGAATTGGGAAGTCTGGGCATCTCTGCTTATGCTAAGTTCACACCAAAAGCAGCAAAGGCAGCAGGAGCAGCTAGTCTACAAGGAAAGTCAATGGTTGGCACGCATCAAGGCGCAGCAAAAGGTCCAGCAGCGCATTTTGAGCAGCATGCGCAGCACGTCTGAGCAGCTGATACAGCGCGTCATTAGCGTTTGAGCATCTGACGCGCGAGACGCACTGCAAACGCAGCTGCTGCAGGAGTTGGAAAAATTAAACTTTTGCTGCTCGACGTGCCACTTCAACCAATCAGAGTCAGGATGGTCAGGATACTAAAACTACTTTATTCTCACCGATCACAGCAAATATAGCTGCCATTGTTACAGTAGAGACTGACACGGGAGTGGATTTTCACTCCTGTCCCGTCCCACTCCCACAGAAAAAAATTGTGTCACATCCCGATCCCGGGCCAGAGTAGAAATCTAAATCCTGTCCCGTCCCACTCCCACAGAAAAAAATTGTGTCCCGTCCCGATCCCGGGCCAGAGTAGAAATCTAAATCCTGTCCCGTCCCACTCCTGGTGAAATTACTCCCACTCCCATCCCGCTCCCATTCAGAATGAGTCCCTCTCCTGCACCACTCCCATTCTTGTTTTTGCTTTTTGAGCGCGGGTGGAAAAACTCAGAGCGGAAGCACTGTTGATTTTTGGGTCGTGTAGTTTTTTTTGACTCGCATTATAGTGTAGGTCTCACGGAAAAAAACTACAAAAGGGCGGTGGCGCGCCAGTGCTGGATTTTTTGGCATCGATCCTAGTTTGTTTTTTAGTTATTATTGGTTTGCTTCCGCTCCCGTTAATGTTTAATCCTGTACCGTCCCAATCCCGTGATCTTTACTAATACTGACTCCCATTCCTAATACTGATTCCCGAAAAAATGTCAGTCTCTATGTTACAGGCAGGATAGCTCGTAGCTCCGCCCAACGCGCATCAAACCCACTTTTCCACCGCACGAGTTTTTGCTGCCTTTGCTGCTTTTGATGTGAACGTAGCATTCGACGGCTGCCTCCACGACCTGGAGGAAAATGGATGGATGAATGGATGGATGGGAAACAGGTCTGAATTAGAATTACAGACAAAAGTTGACCTGATGCCAGAGTTACTCTCACCACAGGTCGAGTAATCAGGCACTGATGGAAGAAAGGCAAAAACAACATAAATAGCTGAGGGAACCAGGTGGAAACGTTCGCCGTTAATCAGCCGCCGGCCAATTAGACAGGTGAGGACGAGCAAATGAAAATGCCAACCATAAGTTCCAAGACCATGACACTGAATTCAGTGAAGCAAAAATAAATCCATGTAGAGAGGGACAGGGCAGCATTGAGTCCCTTCTGACAAAAGGAGTGCAAGTGTTCAGTCAGGAACATCCCAGACCATCAGGCTATTGCTGAAGCAAAAATACAGGACTTTATTATTTCATGCAACCTCCCGCCATCTTTGATTGACAAGCCCAGCTTTAAAAATTTTATGGCATTGGTAGAGGAGAGATACTGTCCACGTCACAGCACAGTAACCAAACGTCTGTGTGAGCTCGCTGCAGAAAAATGTTAATCGTTTCAGGAACAGAGATGGAAACACAAGGAGACATAAGCAAGCATGTCTATGTACATCACTGCACTTATTTTAATTAAACATGTAATTAGAATTTAATGTGCGATTAACTAATAATGGCAACAGGCATTCTCAAGACTTGAGACTTGACTTGGACTTGAGCTCTCAAAACTTGACTTGAACTTGCAATAAATGACTTGTGAACATGTCTGGCGTGAACACATACAAGTCCCCTTTTGTAGTTGATGCGGATGTAGGTACAGTAGTGCCAAAAATAGCAGAGTGACGCATTGTTTATTTAAGAATTGATGACTATTGAAGAAAAATGGGGTGTTACACAGAAATATAGAGTGGAATAAAATGGCAGATTTACCTGCTGCACACAGAAAGACGTGACGATGGGGAAGCTACCCCCCCCCACCTTGAAGTCTAAAAAGACCTTTTTTATTTTAAATAACATGTAGAAACAATGTTGTTTCACTATATAAAAGCTGAATGCACTGTATACAATGGGTAGTTGTTTCATACTTTATGCTCTATGTGATGGAAACAAACTTAAATCCTTGTTTTTACCAAAAACAAGGATAAACAACACTGTTACTTCTGAACCATTTTTTTCTTTGAGAACAACTTTATGTCCTCCAATTCGGAACGAGGCAGATCGCATGTGCCAAGTTACAAAACATTCAGAGGTTCCCAGGGCCGAGGCTGCACATGCGGTCCACGCTCGGGGCGGGGACAGCATCGATTTTGGTGCGCGCACACCCTCACGCCCTGCGTGAGGCGCTGAGTATAAACCAAGCTTTTGGGTTTGAGCTTTAGTTGGAAATTACCTGCTAAAATGAAAGAAATACTAGTTTCAGTTTGAGTGACATAACTGCTGATATTTGCTGTCAGAAACAGAAGTCTGTTGATATGCTGCACGGTGGAAACGCTTGTAGCACCATTGCTTTGCAGCAGCAACTACCTGGAATTGATTGCAAGCACAGGATTTTTCCACATTCAGTTTGGATGTTCTCCCGGTGTAGGCGTGGGTTCTCTCCAGGTAATCCGGCTCCCAAACTCCAAAAACATGGGTGTTAGGGTAACTAGCATCGCTAAATCGTCCTTAGGTGTGGGTGTGTGTGTGTGCTTGTGTGTCTTTGTATGTCTCTGTGTTGTCCTGTGATGGACTGGTGACCTGTCCAGGGTGGACTCTGCCTTTAGCCCATAGACTGCCAGAAATAGGCCCGAGCCCCACCCTGACAGATGAAGCGTGAGAAGAAGGATGAATGGATGTTTGCTCATATTTTGAGCTAGCTTGATTCCAGGACCAACCCACCAGAACCAAACATGCAGCTGTCCTATATGTAATACCCATGTATGAAGATGTGAGCTCTGTGTGAAAATGAAATATGTAACCAGATTTAAATTTACACAAAGACATCTGACCCACCTGGCATAGATGCCGGCATGGTCCTGCTTTGGACGCTGGGGCTGAAAGGTCCTCCTCCCTTGTTGGTAAAAGCTTGGATTCTGATGTCATAGGTGGTGTCAGGCAGCAAACCCTGAACAGTCATGTGTGTCTCTGTGGTGCTGTTGGTGTAGTTGTCCTTGCTATTAATGTCCCGATACACCACAACATACTTGACGATCTCTCCGTTCCTTTCAGCCAGAGGCGGAGGCTCCCAGGCCAGCATGGTAGAGGTAGAGGTGAGGCCCGTCACCCTGAGATTCTGGGGGTAGCTGCTGGGTATGTCCTCAGAGGTGATGATCTCCTTAACATATTCCTCACCGGAGCCTGCTTGGTTTTTAGCAGACAGCTTGAAAATGTAAGTGGCTCCTTTAAGGAGGCCGGTGAGAGTAAAATGGTCATCCGTCTTCCTGAGATCTTTGGTGGTGAAGGTTTCCTCATCCACCCTCTTGTACTGGAGTTGGTATCCTAGATGTTCTCCTATCATTTCTTTAGGAGGCTGCCATTGGATCATAGCGGTGTTCCCCACCATCATATTGATCATCATGCTTGGCTTTCCAGGCACTGTGACAGAGAAAATATGAGCAATAAACCAATTAGATTATTTACATCACTACAAATAGCATTTATACCACTCTCAACTGGCATGTAGCCTGGAATAATTCATAGGGTGTCCACCTTGGTATATCACATCTTTAGGCTTTGTGTGGCATGGGGGTACAGGGTATCCTCCCCCAGAAAATGTTGAAATTTAAACTTGCTGAAACCCTTTTTGCTGTATTTTGAGGGGGAATACAGCTTTCTGTCTTTGTTCCAGCACTACTTCTGTCCTGATTATAGGAACTATATGTGCTTGACTAGAGGTGGAAATTTAATCAGGAAGACATGAGATCATTTTTAGGTACAATATTATGTTTCATAGGTTAATTAAAACAAATTCAAAAGTCTAATGCTATGTTCACACCAGACACAATTTAAGCAGCAAAAAAGCTTCTGCTGCTCCTGTGTTCAATGCCAGAGAGCAGCTTTGCTATAGTAGCTGTGATCAGCGG